CCGCTCCCCCCTCCCTCATGAGCCCTTGATAGTTTATAAATTGGTATTTTGTCATATCTTGCCCTGTCCAACGTCTCCCTTCACCCACTTTTAAAACGGATTCCCCAGAGTATGTCTTTACCACGGGGTTCTCCATATTGGTGGAGAGAGTTAGCGACTCATTCTAATGTTCATGTACATTGTAGCTAACTACCGTGGTCCCTAAGAGTTCTCTCATTACTTCAGGTGGTACTTGTTTTCCCCTCCCAAGATCACCTGACTCTCTTCCCTGGGCTTCCTATCATCTCACATTTTCATTCCTTTCTGCCCATCACCACACTGGGACTTAATCCCAATTTCTCGGGTCAGCATTGTCTAAACTTTTCAGACGACACTTGTGCCTACCATTGTGCTACGTTCAGTTGTTTGCCGGCTTACAAAGGGAACTGGGTTAGATAATAGTTCACTGTTCCGACGGACCCTGGCCAGGACACTTCAAAAACACTTCATCAAGGATTTTACATTGTTGTTCCTTTTCAAAATTACGCGGACTCTGTCTGAAAGGAGGTGAGTGGAGCTTGAAGCTCCTTTTCTCCAGGGTTCGACTGTGAATGTGTTTTGGAACAGATTTGGGGAATTGGATTCTGCATCTGACTTTGGAGGCAGTTTCAGTGTGGGAACCAAAAACCCTTTAGGAAAAGATTACAGTCACTGAAATGTTTAAATAATAGAATGCTTGGATGGGCTACGAGAGGAAAAAGTCGCTCAATCATTTAGTGTGTGTGGCCCTTTCTTTCGAGGCCAGAGCAAACAAATGACTGTGAACTCACTGTCTTCAGAGCTTCCTAGGCCCTCACATGAGGACTGTGGGAATTGAGAAGTCAGGGACTTTGGCCAAACACCTAAAAAACCATTTATGTTCAAACAAAAATTTCACTGAAGCACAATTGACTCTTTGTCCAATGGCTGATGCAATTGGATGCAAAGTCACCATGGAATAAAGTTTTCCACCACTATAAATGTGGTGGTATGGGTGGGAGACATTTCCTGATTTTTGTCTCCCTTTACCAGAATGTTAAACCAGCATGTTCACAGCAGCCAA